CTTCTTTCCCAGCTTTACGTATTGGAACTACTACAGCTTCTTTCCAGCAACTAGGTAATTGTCCCTTTTCCCATATCTTATTATATAACTCTAAAAGAATACTTTTTGATGATTCACTTACATTTTTTAACATTATATAACATATCTGATCTTTACCCGGTGCTGATAACCTAGTACTTCTTAATGCACTATTTATTTCTCCTATTGTTAATGGCAAATTAAGTATATCATCTACCTCTTCATCTTCCATAATTAATTCTCTATATCTTAAAACTGTTCCCTCTCGTCCTTTCCTCCCTTCTTCGTTAACATTATCCGAACTATGGATTTTGACAAATGTTTTTATGATCATTTCCGCTTTCTCCTTCTCTGTCACAGCTGTGCCTTCATTATTTATTAATGTAGGATATCTAAACTCTCTCCTAATTCCATTCATTTTCCTTATCATGCCCCATACTTTATAAATATCTGTTTCTCTTCCCACTGACTCACAAAATGATCTCCAATATCCCCTTTTTGCTGTTTTAATAGTTCTTCTTACCTTTGCCCGCATCTTTTTAAACTTGATTAAATCTTCAAAATTGTGTGTTCTTTTAAGTATTTTAAAAACTTTGTTCCTTTCTTTTATTACTTTCCCACATTCTTCCGTCCACCATGGGACTATCTTCTTTCTCCTATTCCCTAAACTTCTTGGAATTGATTGTTTTGCTGCTTCTATTACCTGCTAAAGCTTCCGATACAACTGTAATATCAACTGCCGTTTCCTTCCCATTTACCACATTTATTCTAGTGCCATCTCCATTGTTTACACATACTAAATTTTTTAGTTCCATTAATTCCTCTATTACCTCCCCATTTGAATCATTATAACTATCCCACAACGTATTATGCCCATTAAAATCTCCACAACAAATAACCTTACCCTCTAAATTTATTGCAAGTTCCTCTATGTTTTCCAATGTTATTTTCTTACACGGATTATAATAATTTACTATTTTAATATTTCCTTCATTTGTCCAAACTTCAATTACTATAAATTCCAATTCCTTTCCTTTTACCATTACCGTATAATGCATATTCTGTTTGATAAAAATACCACACACCCCCCCATTATCCTTGTCTCTATCTCTCCTAACACTATCATAACCTGCTATTATAAAATCTAAAGATGGTTTCAACCAAGTTTCTTGGATGCAAATTATGTCCGGTTTTATTTCTAAATCATTGATAATACTTTTGAATTCCTGTCCATTTGCCAAAAGACTCCTTGCATTCCATTGAATTATAAACATTAACTCTATCCAATTTGGCTTAAAGACCCTCCTTCCGACTCAAGTCTTCTGGTAATCTGTTCCCAAGAGAGGTTTCTGACTGACAAAAATTTCTCAGCACCTTTTGTAATAACTTTAATTTTCTCTGTTTTATGTTTTACCTGATCAGTACAATTGATAACATATGCTATGAACAAAATAAAATTTTCTATGTTCATTGATACCTCTTTTAGATTTCTCACATTATCCTGGGTTATTACATCTTTGGCTGCCCCCTCCTTTGTTTTCCCTTCTTGAATTCACTGCCTCTGCATAACTTATATTACTCTTTGTTTTAATTTGTTGGACCTCCACTGCTCTTTTCCTTACCTCACATCCTCCATATGTTACACTATGATCTCCACCACAGTTACGCTACCTTCACATTTTCCCCACATTCCTCATACCTATGCTCTCCCCCACACTTTGCACATCTTTGTTTTCCTCTACACACTGCAGCAATATGTCCATATCTCTGACATTTGTAACACCTAAGAGGTGGTGGAACATATTCTCTGACATAGTAGCTCATGTATCCTATTTGAACCCTTTCTGGAAGTTTTTCATCTTGAAAGTCAATTAACACAGACAAACTGGCAACTCGTTTTCCCTTTACTGTGTTATTTAATCGTCTCACATTCGTCACTATTTTTCGTTCACTATGTCCAAATCCTCTTCGACTGGAATACCCCATATTACTCCCCGTGTCCCCGTTTTTCCATGTATTACTTTTTTATCCACTACAGTCTTCTTGCATACACTTCCAATATGCAACGCTTTATTCCTTTGTTCCTCTGTCTTACATTTGATCAATATATTCCCGTCATAAAGGATTTTGGCCATTTCTATCTCTCCCAGCTTTAAATCTTTGGTAAGTGCAATAGGACTTAAACCTATGTGTTCATCTTCTTTCCTCATTACAAGTATAATCTTGAATTCTTCCCTTTCCAATCTCCTCCGAATCGTCCGCTCATTTTCCTTGGAACTACTTTCTTCCAGACCCCTTTTTTTGCTTACGTTATTTATGTTTCTATTCCCTCCTTCCTGACTTTTTCCTACATCCCGCTCTTTTTCCCGCCCTACCGCCATCCATTCTTCACTATTCATGTCATCATCCTCATACCAAGATCCTTCTCTCCTGACCCATTCACTAACCAGTTCATGCCTCCAGTCCTCCCATCCATAGGCCACTTCTGCCGGACTTCCGGCGATTCCAGTCGCCGATTCCCCTGACAACCTCTCGGCAATCCCCTCCTCATTTTCTTGTGAATATGTTCAACCCAGAAACCTGCGTTTACCGCGCATGCGCAAAGTGACGTAAGGTATGTCTATAACACGCATGCGCATTAACGTGGTGACAGCGCATGCGTGTGTAATTTGCATTGCGTGGTGACGTAACACGTCATTAAAACGCATGCGCATACTTAACAGAATACTCTAATAAAATGTATTAAAAAAAACGCTAAGGTGAAAAAAAGAAGAAAAAAGCAGTAAAATGTAGTACAGCACATCTAGGATTTTAATCATGTATCATCTGAGGTAAAATTATACGGAATGATCTTTTTTTTTTTATTGCAAAGAATAAAACAGAAAATATAATTGTGTGTGTATATATAGATTAAAACTATAAACATGACTATAAACATGACACATGAGAAAGAAAAATAAAATTGCATCTACACGTTCTGAAATTCACCTCCATCATTAATAAAACAATCAACTGAGCAGTAGCCCTCAAAGTCTTTGAAGGAATAAAACCCATGCAGGACTCCCCTCCTGCCATTCCCTCCATAGCCAGGTGGACAGTCTTTAAATGTTTCGCAGCACCGTAGGCACTGGGTCAGTGAATATGGCACCCGGAACTTCTCTCTGTATCATGCAGAAAATGCACTCCAGTTTACCACACCTAATTTACATAAAAGAACAAACAATATTAAAACAACATTAAATCATTTTGAAGAAAGGCAAAAGAGCCATACAAGAAGAAGATTTTAAATGTATTTTAAAATATATTATAGGATGGTGTTAGGAAAAGTGTGTTATTTGCTTTGTCTGTGAAGTACCTAAGAGATTTAATTTATAATTAACATTACCATCAACTATACGGTGTGCATAATTATTAGGCAAGTTGATTTTCTAGTCTTTTTTTTTTCTTTTATACCAATCCCAAACCACATAAATCTTAACTACTATTGATTTTGTATTTAATCATTTATAAGTGATATATAATTGTCCATGAAGGCTGGAAGTGAAAAACTCCTTACATTCAGGTGTGCAGAATTATTAATTATTAGGCATGTTTTCCTTTACTGATAAAATGAGCCAAAAAAAGAGGTTTAACTCAGACTGAAAAGTCATATTAAAAACGTTTGTCAAGTCAAAATTTAGGTTGGTTTGGCTTGGCTTTTTTATTATTTGAAGGCAATACAGTCTACCAGAAAAACAAACAAAAAACAGACGGATAGATGAGAGGAAACAGACAGGCAGACACTCAAATACTTTTTACAGTACTCACTACACGTTAGAGTTAAAGAACTTACTGTCTAGCCACATGAAGTGGGCCTCTTCTTTGAATTTTGTCTCACTGGCAATGTCCCTAAAAAGCTTGCACGTGAGAGAAAGTCTCATAAAGGCCATGTCTCTGTCGTCTGAGACCACTCTCAACAGGATCTGCCCGAGGATCTCCAGTGGCGTCTGTCCAAAATAACCAAGTCAGTCTAATAGTGGCAGAACAGTAGCAGCAATGAAAATGAGAAACATCTTTGCATTTTAAATTGCATTCGTCTGACCAAACAGTGCAAGTGAGGAATCTGTGCTGAAAAGCAACCAATAAAACCGGCATTTTTCCTCATTTGAACACAAGCTCCTTATAAAATAAAATGTAAAGATTTTATATTGCCTTTCTATTGTAATAAAGCTGCATGACAATTTGTATGTGCAATTGCCATATGCATACAGCATCATACATGTTGTGTGCTTGCAAACACTTCAGGTATGTTTTGAAAGGGCCGCTAGGGGACTTTTATTTTGACAGCGCGCTTGTAGTCAGAGCGTCTGATGTTTGTGTTGTTTTCTGCTCGTCCTCAGAGTCAGACTGCAGCGATGCGCTTCATCCGAGTCTGTTTTTATCTCCTAAACCCATCGATCACAATATTATCGTGATTTATCCATCAATATCTGCTTTTGCTCATCGATGGTCGTAAAATGGCGAGCTCTTTCTCCAGACCTTCAGCTCAAGGAGGCACAGGTTTGATATTACGTTATTGTTATTCTGCGTTATTTTGTTTATATCTCACTGAAATGACTGAAACTTTGACGACAGATGTGTGTCTTTGTAGATATCAATGTGTGTGAGGTTACATGATCAGGTCTATCGTCAGGATTGAGCAGCAGGCTGTCAAACCATTGAACAAACATATTCAGTGTCACATGGTTATAATAAAAATGCTTAATAATAAGATATTTAATAATGCTAGACAATAAATATCCATGTAAATCCATTAATTAAAAATATATATTTCATTAATCTACATTTAGCACTTATCCTATAAATATTTTTTTAATTATATCTCCATGGTAGCAATAGTTTAGTCAAAATACCATAGTAAAACTACATTATAGTAGCTATGTTAACGGGGCAAAAGTAAAGGTCACCATTGTCATTTTTAAAGTTGTAACTTTATAATTTTGATGGGATTCAAACCTCCATTTTTATGCTACCGGCCCAGATATTTAACCACTAATTCATCCCCCTCATTCATCCGTGTGTCTCTTCAGAGACGGAGCGTCTGCTGGCCCCTGTGATGGGATACGGCTCCGGCGATCTGAACAGTGGGTGTCACGGCAGCCCTCCCGCCCTGGACGTGAGCATGCCGGGGTCACGGCCGCGGGCCGAGGAAGCGGAGGAGGCCCTGAGGAGGAAGCTGAAGTACTTCTTCATGAGCCCGTGTGATAAATACCACGCCAAAGGCCGCAAACCCTTCAACATGTTTCTGTTACTTTGGCAATTCTGCATGTGAAATATTTAAGCCAATAAAGTATTTTTAAGTTAAATTGACTACATACTGTATATTTTCAGTCTGCATCCCATTTTATGCATGGTGCCTCCAAAAACCAAACTGATAACAGTGATCTTTTTTTTTGCAAAGAACAAAACAGACAATATAATTGTGTATATATATAAAACTATAAACATGACACATAAAAATTGCATCTACAAGAAACAAAAATTGCATCTACACGTTCTGAAATTCACCTCCATCATTAATAAAACAATCAACTGAGCAGTAGCCCTCAAAGTCTTTGAAGGAATAAAACCCATGCAGGACTCCCCTCCTGCCATTCCCTCCATAGCCAGGTGGACAGTCTTTAAATGTTTCGCAGCACCGTAGGCACTGGGTCAGTGAATATGGCACCCGGAACTTCTCTCTGTATCATGCAGAAAATGCACTCCAGTTTACCACACCTAATTTACATAAAAGAACAAACAATATTAAAACAACATTAAATCATTTTGAAGAAAGGCAAAAGAGCCATACAAGAAGAAGATTTTAAATGTATTTTAAAATATATTATAGGATGGTGTTAGGAAAAGTGTGTTATTTGCTTTGTCTGTGAAGTACCTAAGAGATTTAATTTATAATTAACATTACCATCAACTATACGGTGTGCATAATTATTAGGCAAGTTGATTTTCTAGTCTTTTTTTTTTCTTTTATACCAATCCCAAACCACATAAATCTTAACTACTATTGATTTTGTATTTAATCATTTATAAGTGATATATAATTGTCCATGAAGGCTGGAAGTGAAAAACTCCTTACATTCAGGTGTGCACAATTATTAGGCATGTTTTCTTTTACTGATAAAATGAGCCAAAAAAGAGGTTTAACTCAGACTGAAAAGTCAAATTAAAAAAAGTTAAATAAAAAAAGTTTGTCAAGTCAAAATTTAGGTTGGTTTGGCTTGAGAAAGCATAGCCTGAAAGTTTGAAGGTTTTTTTTTTTTTGAAAGTTTTACAGTTGAGGGCAATACAGTCTACCAGAAAAAAAACAGACCGATAGATGAGAGGAAACGGACAGACAGACAGACAGACACTCAAATACTTTTTACAGTACTCACTACACTTAGAGTTAAAGAACTTACTGTCTAGCCACATGAAGTGGGCCTCTTCTTTGAATTTTGTCTCACAGACAATGTCCCTAAAAAGCTTGCATGTGAGAGAAAGTCTCATAAAGGCCATGTCTCCGTCGTCTGAGACCACTCTCAACAGGATCTGCCCGAGGATCTCCAGTGGCATCTGTCCAAAATAACCAACAGTCAGTCTAAAATGTGACTGTAGATAAGACATATTAAAAAAGGAAACTGATAGATTGACAGGATTTTATACTGTGCTTACCTTGGTCAAGTAATCAACAGGTGGGGGGGGGCTTCCATTGCCTCTAAATTGGAGAGTAATAAGAGTAGCATCAATGTCAAAACCCTGTTAATTGTGCTGTACAAGAATTAAAGTAGAACCCATACCTGCTCTTTCTAGTCTCCTCTTTTTTCTGAGTTGTTTTCGTTCCGTGTCTGACCTTCAAATGTTTAAAATATAAAGAGCTTATGAAGAGAGTTTGATCTTAATGACATCCCCAGAAGAAGATTTGAAATTCACAGGTTTAGACTGATATATGTAATGAAATTATTTGCACTTTATAGTTAAAACGTACGGTAGCGCATTGCTGCCACAAACATTTATTTTGTCCACTCGATTATGTTGTATAAACTAAATTTTTTGTCGTAATAACGAGTTGTTGTTAAAATGACAATTATCTTATTAAAACGACATATCATAAAAACAACATATTATATCATAAAACAACATAACATGTGGCAGCAATATGCGCCATCATAAAAACACTTCTTTGTACTATTTAATTTAAACTGTTAAATTTATGTTTACAGATAAGTTGGCAACATTTCACATAAAGTACAACTTGATCTGACTTACTTCAATGAATAATTACTCAGCAGAAGCATACACCACCACCTTCTAATTGTTGGCATGTCATACATAGATCACTGATGAGCTAATGGTAACTAAGGATCTCTAAATAAATGACTTTGGAATTGAAGACTTACTTTATTGAAATCAAAATGCCCCTCCGATACCACATAGAGTGCAAACTACAATACGAATTAAAGCTCATTTTAGCAGACAATGTACAATCATATACCAAAATGGTTGTTTTCTATTCAATAATATCAATAAACAAAACATCAAATACAAATTCTTTCAGATGTAGGACATTTATAATACTTTCTGGTGTGACTTATGTTACAACACTGCATGGCTTACCATCAACACAAACACTCCGCAGTTATTTGAATTGTGTTGTCTGGGAATGCCCTGAAAATTTCAACAATAAAAAAAAAACAAAAAAAAACACATACATAATTTATATATATATATATATATATATATATATATATATATATATAAAAAGAAATTCAAACATCAAAAGCTTGCAAGCCTTAGTATAATTGGTGCTTACTGTAATGTCATCACAGCTGTACTCCCTCCATGGCCCAGGAATGACACGTTTTGCTAGTTGCCTGTTAAGTGTAAGTAAATTAAAAGTGTAAGTAAGCAGAAGTATAAAATACATTTTAAAAACACACGAAAAGACAGCTAAATCTGAATTAATTCATTAAGTAAAAAAAAAAAGCAAACAAAAATGGGCATATATGGTTTAAAACAGAACTACCATAACCCCGAACTCATGAACTTTTAACATTTCACTCGTAAGACCTGTAACTGTTCATGAAACGGCAATCAATGAAGCCACGTCCGGAAAGGGAATCAAGCCAATAGATCTCTCTATTTCTTGGCTTCATGATCTAAAACTATGTAACTTTGACATCAACTGTCAAGTGCTAGCACTTTCCTTTACATTTGTAAGGTATGAAATACCTAAGCAGAACATTTAAACATTTTCTGATTATTTGATCATTAAAGATAATTATTTTGAGACCTATACAGATCTTCCAATGATTTTCTGACCAGGAGGGCAGTAGAATTATGTCATGACTTGCTAGATTTTCCTACGAAAAAAAGTAAATATGAAATCAATTTAGACAATTATAAATAGATAAGTTATTTAGAATAAATTTTTTTTTTAAATGGCTTCATACTGCCTCAGTCACAAGACAATGATACTCACAGGAACATTGCACATTGGGTCTGTGCACAAGGGTGGCAACCAAGTCACTGTCACATATGAATTAAAGACATGGACCATTATGCCCTGTTAAGTAAAAGTGCAACAATTAAATAAGGAACCACATTCCCATTTTTTCCACACATCGTGCATACAGAATATTTGATCAAGGGAATTCTTTGCATTACCTGAAGGTCAGCAATATCCTTCACAACAGAAAGACAGGCATTCAAAATCTGTTAACATTCAAAGAAATGCATTTACAATCTGTGAAAATGTAAGGACATAAAAGGGCACATAGTACTATACTGTACTGCATGGGTTAAAGGGTACAAATATATTATTTTTGCTGCATCTCACTGTTGCTTCTACATCACGTTGGTGCCCTAAAGTAAGTAAATCCATCCTGGTGAGGACTGTAGTTCCAACAGATGCCAAAAATTCATTGGCTGGTCCCGTCTCCATTAAGGCATGGTTTAGCTATGAAAATAACAGCAAAGTACTCCAATGTGTCTTTTTTTGTTAGTTTTAAAATAATAATTAAAAAAACTAACAGTAATTTAAAAAACAAAACAAACAAACAAAAAACTAAAACACCTTACCTGATTCAGCTGGACTGTACTGGGTGACTGTTTCCAGCGTGCCTTGTTCGGTTGCACATCCTGTAGAGCAGTAATACCCACCAAGACATGGGACAATGAGGATATTAAAACTTAAAGGGAAAAGAAAAGACCGGGGCAGGCCATTTACAATTTTAAGAGAGTTGGGACACTGGTCACCCTAAGATCTGTAACTTGAAACTACTGTAGGTCCGTATGTCATTGTGAATTTTCGTCACTTCCATCAGATGAAACTTTTAACAGTCTCAGGAATGCTTAAAATAAAAATAAAATAAGAACTTAATCGACCTTCTGAAAAAGAGCATCATATTTTTACAGAAGGAGAATGCTACTGTACATTTAATAAGTTCAGAAAGCAACTCACCTATCATCCCAATGACCAGAAAAACACTGATCATGCAAAATATTAGAGTAAGATGATTCATCCATGTTGTCTGCTCAGTTTGCTACACTACAGTGCAATTCCGACACTGTGTTATCTCTGTAGGTTTAGTTGGGTCTGTAAAAAAATGTGCTCAAATATATATCTCTGTGTTATATATATATATATATATATATAAACACATAACTGAAGTAGTATCACTCACCAATGTGTACACTGATGTGTAGTCTGATGCCATTGCTGAATTTTACATCTGTTTCTGTGTCGATGCAATAAAAAACTCCTAACTCCTTAATAGTGACGTTATTTATGAAAAGACAATGTTTAGGTTGCACTGAATATTTGTGCCTGAAGGTTTTTTTTATAGTAAAATGTTGTTGGTGGGTTTAAGAATGAGTGTAATATCACAACCGGAGGATCTGGTAAATTCAGCAAAAACCATGTGGCCTCCTTTGAATCAATATCACAGTTTATGGTCGCATTTTGACCCAAATCTGTTAGTTGATCTGTTAAAGTCTTTGCAGTTTGACACCATGTAAGCAGATCTACAAGAAAAATATAATTAGGAGTATTTTGCTTAGAATTTCCATTCAAACAAGAACAAAAAAAATATTTATTCATTATAACACATGTATGAAAAGATTTTTATTAATAAGCTCACAGAAGTGGAGCTTCAAGATCTTCAACATGATGTGGTCTTGGTGTACGCTGCTTTTTAGATGAAACTGGACCTCCGGTCTTTTTAGGAGGACTCTTTTAGCCACATCAAGCAGAGGAAGTCAAAGTCAAGACTAAATTGTCAAGTAAGTTGTACA